AAGTTGTATCTGCTTAGTTCTAGTGCCCATCTTGCTTGTCTTTTGTTTAGTTGCTTTTTACTTTGAAAGGTTTTCAAATTAGACTAGTCAGTTATTATTCTAATTTAATGTTTGGCTCCTTCTAAATAATGTCTCCAGTTTGCTAATGCCTTTATAATAGCATATAATTCCTTATCTGGTGCTACATAATTTCTTTCCTGTTTACTAAAAGTTGAAGAATAATAAGCTATAGAATGTAATTCTTTATCTTCCTGTTCTTGTGATAGTATTGCTAAGTATGCAAAATCTGATGCATCAGTTTCTACTACAAACTGCTTTTCATAGTTTGGCCTTACTAATACTAGTACCTTAGCAAATGCTTCTTTTATAGCTTTAAAAGAGGCTTCTTGAGTGTCTCCCCATGTAAAAGTTCTCTTCTGTGACAGTAAACTTGATAAAGGTTTTACTGTTCCAGAATAGTCTTCTACAAATTTCTTGTAGAAATTAAAGAATCCTAGTATTTTCCTAATGTCTCTCTTTGTAAGAGGTCTAGGCCATTCTAATATAGCTTTTATCTTGTAAGGATCTACTTTTAGTCCATCCTGATTGACTACAAAACCTAAGTAGTCTAATTCCTGTTTATTAAAGAAACACTTTTCTGGTTTACAGTAAAAGTCTGCTTTCCTTAATAATTGTAGCACCTTTTTGGTTAGCTCTAATAGCTCCTTTTGTGTTTGAGCATAGATAATAATATCATCTAAATATATTACTATCCCTTTACCTATTAATTCTTCAAAGAGTTGATTCATAGCTCTCTGAAATACTGCTAGTACATTTATCATTCCAAATTACATTACTAGTGGTTCATATAATCCTTTATGTGTTCTAAAGGCTTGTAAGTATTCTTGTCCTTGTTTTATCCTAATGTTATTGTATCTACTTTTAAGGTCAAGAGTTGTAAACCATTTTGCTTCCTTTAAATAGTCTGGTAGTGTGTGCATTATAAGTATAGGAAATGGATCAGGTTCTACAATCTGATTTAATTTCCTATAGTCTATAACCATTCTTGCTCCTGAATCCTTTTTGCCTACAAAGAATACTAGTGATACAATTTTAGAATGACTCTCTCTAATGTATCCTTTCTTTAGGTTTTCTTGTATAAATTCCTCTACTGCTTCTTGTTCTACAGGAGTTAGAGGATATACTAGACACATTTTAGGTAATTCTGCTCCTTCCTTTAATTTGATATCCATGTCCCATCTGGAATGCTTTAGTAATCTATCTGCTTTATCTTTATCAAACCTGTCTAAGTAATCCCATAATTCCTTTGGCACTAATTCCTTTTTATCTCTTTCTAGACTTATTCCTGATCTGTTTAGTGCCTCTGCCTTTTCTTGTAAAGCTTTCTGTACTATACTAGAGACTTTGTTTAACTGTTTTCTAAGCTTCTGTTCTTTACTGGTTTGATAAGATAATTTTTGTTAGAGCACTCCTAACTCCTCTTGCTTGTTAGTTTCTGTTAACTAATAGGATGCTAGATTCATCCTCTTTACAGACAGTTCTAGAGTTCCTGACCTTCTTTTCTTTATAGGTGGAGGTGTACTTCCTGTACTTTCTCCCCTTTTTCTTTTAACATATTCATTATATAATACAATGTTTTGCATTTTCTCTTTTACCTTTTGTATTTGCTCTTCTCCTAGTCTTGTCTTATGCATTATGTATAGGTCTGCAAATTTCTTGTCTGCTCTAAAGGTAATCATTCTTGCTTTATGTCTAGAAAGCAAGGGTTCCTGATATTAAGGTATTTTAGGTAACATTACTTGTTCCTCAGAAATAGTTACTTTGTCTAGTAAAGTAGTTATTTCTTTATCTGTATCAATATCTTTGTCTGATGAATATGACCTTATACTAGTTTCTGGTTGTATACCTAGTATACTTCTTGAAGGGCTCTGTTGCAAATCCTGTGTTGTTAAACTTTTAATAAGTATCATAAGTGTTATAAATTCTGGAATAGGAGTCATAGAAGCTTTTCCTTTACCAAATCTTTCTTTTTCTGAAAACCAAAGACTTTCTAATCCACTACTATCTGACTCTGAATCTGATAGTATAGGTGGTTTGTGGGAAAACTTCTTTGTCTTGGTTTTCTTCATGCTTCTAATTTGAGAGTATTCTTTTACATTTTTCTCTCTGTTTTGGTTCCTTTTCTTTTCCCAACTTTTGCCTAGTAGTTTGATCTTTCCTGTACTACTTCTGACTTCTCCTGTTTAATAATTAAACAAAGGTTTTACTTTGTTTAAATAGTCAGATCCTAATAAACACTTATTATTATAAGTGTTCATTATTACAAATTTGAACCATCCATTACTAATTCCAGTATTTAACCATGCCCAAGCATTATACTTTCATCCTCCTTTGTTAATTGTACTATTAGCATTTCTTACAATTACCTTAAGCTTGTCA